TTTATTTTAATTGTTATAAGATTTGTATTGACTTTACCGAATCAATTCCCTTTTCTTTTATCGCTAGACAGCACAACGTTATCCAATACAGGTAAAGTGAAATTTTCATTTTGATCTATTCATTTTTTGTGTGATTAATGAAACTTGTATTTGCTACATCTACCCTATGCATGCTTCATCTCCTGTTGCAATGTTCTCCTCTTAATTTAACAACTTTCATTTTATATTCTAAAGGTGATTGGCAGTTATGGAGTGGCCATTACTATTACCACCGAGAAAAATCAGCCGCAAATTCCTGGTTTTCAGCCGAAGGTGTTTGTCGACAACATGGCGAAAATGTTCATTTGGCTTCAATTCACAGTCAGCGAGAAAACGACTTCATAAAGTCACTCTCCTCAGACGAAGGCGAACAATGGATAGGCCTCACTGATCACAACATTCGATCGAATTCTTTTAAATGGATCGATGGCTCACCTTATGGAGATTTTACGCCTTGGGCGGTGGGAGAACCAAACCAGGCAACAGTAGATGAAGACTGTGGAGCAATGAAACCAGATGGAACATGGATAGACGTGGCATGTAGAAAGCAAAGACTTGGAAGTGGCACACCATTCGACAGAAGGGCTTTTACATGTAAAACATCTGGTAAGAATGTATCTTCGTGCTTTACATTGATAATTACTGACAATAACAATTTGTTTTATATTGAGTAAGTATAGCAGTTTAAAGTTCAATATTGGGCAGCAGCCGCACCTCTCTACGTTGGTATTTTTCTATGCATGTAAGCTACACATGCAGCCTTGAAAAAAAGCTGCTTGCCTAGAAAGGAGTTCCATCAAGCGATGTTATTTTTGTGCATTAGAGAAAATATGAACACTGCTGTTTTCTCCTCAGGGAGCGCAGTGAGATATGAGCCCTTGCCGTCCTCACAAAGAGAGGTAATGTTAGCCATTTCACAAACAATTTGCAGGCTTGTGTTTTTCTTATATTATCCTCGTTAAGTTCGGTTTTTGCAGAACGTTCACGGAAGCCGTTGTGTCCAACAGCAAAAAGACTAAAACTTAGAGCAGAA